TGACTGCTGATGCTAATTGGTTGTTTGAATGTCCTTGACTGCTGACTCTAATTGGTTGTTTTAATGTCCTTGACTGCTGATTCTGATTGGTTGTTTGAATGTCCTTGACTGCTGACTCTAATTGGTTGTTATAATGTCCTAGACTGCTGATTCTGATTGGTTGTTATAATGTCCTAGACTGCTGATTCTGATTGGTTGTTTGAATGTCCTTGACTACTGGTTCTAATTGGTTGTTCTAATGTCCTTGACTGCTGATTCTGATTGGTTGTTTCAATGTCCTTCACGGTTAGTTCTGAGGATCCTGACCAATATGTGATACGAGTAGGGTTAGAAATGGGTGTGTATAATTGGGTACTGAATATAGCAGAGTATTCGCATACTTCTTATGTTCCGTGTATCCATCACTATCGCTACGTATATCACTATAATCACGCACTTCATTTGAAACCCGTTCTATCTCACCAAAACTGCTGAAGCAGATGCGCATCTCCATCAGCATGGGATACCATATCTACATTTGTGCATTTATAGATCTATAGATTTATATATGAACCTGGGATACCATATATATATTTATGTATTTATTTACGTGTATATTTGTGGATCTATGTATATATATACATGATTCTGCAATACTATATATATATGTGTGTGTGTGTGTGTGTGTGTGTGCTTAATTATGTGTATGTTTATTGATCTATGCATATATACATGACTCTGTGATACCTCAATACTCCGGGTGTTGACCGTGTGCGGATACTGAACATGTTATTCTTATTCACGATTATAGAACCGCTCCCCCGGGGCGCGCCAGCAAGCTCGCGTGCGATCTCTGGCAGTGATTGTTTGTTCTGTGTGCCCACGTGTTAAACCCAACGTTCCAGATAGAACTTTGTGAGTTGCTGTGTGCGGCGGTGGCTCTGGTTCGCTTAGCTGTAGTACTTCTTTGGGGGTTGTAGATCGGACGCCGCTTGTGTGTTGCTCTTAAACGGCTCGCAGTCTGCTCGGCGATGGAATACTGTGTGACGATGGTGTGGTAGTGAAACGGTACCTGTGGTACAGGCTGAGTGTTTGCCACGATCATATTATGCGCAATCAAGAAGCAAGGGCCGTGCGGCTGTTGGCGGTTATCTGTTGGCGGTTATCTGCAGGGCAGAACACACACATAGTATACCCCCAAGTGATATTTCTGTTCCGTTCTGTTTGTCTGATACTCGTGCACTACTGACGTTATACTTCCGCCAGCCGCTTGATGAGCTGGCGTCACATTTTCGGCACATAGGCCACTTGCTATACAGGATTGGAGGTTTGTCAACGGCTTCTCACACACTTATTGTACCGAAACTCCTCGACACTCTCTCGCACAGACGTTGGAGCATGCTGCGCAGAGCGATTACGAGAAGCTCTTCAGCAACTTGAGCCGAGTGGCGAAGCAGATATTCAATATACTTGAAGTGGGGACGTACGCTAAGTTCCTGGTATGTATCTCCTGTGATATATGTGATTAGCGTGTTCTAACGTTCACATAGCCGTGAAGCAGATATTCAATATACTTGAAGTAGGACGTACGCTAAGTTCCTGGTATGTATGTCCTGTGATATATGTGATTAGCGTGTACATAGCCGTAAAGCAGATATTCAATATATTTGAAGTGGGGACGTACGCTAAGTTCCTAGTGGTACTTCCTGTGCTTAAGGTGTTCTAGCTTTCAAATAGCCGTATACTCATCTATGCTCGAGGAGTATGTATGATGACCTTTTCTTTTCTTTTTTCCATTCACTAACCAGTTGATTGTTCGCTCCAATATCAGGAAGAGTATGATGCCAACGCAAGTTGCCCCGACGCTCTCCAGGACGCCTCGTCATCACGCAAGCTGCAGCTGCGACTGCTGAATTCCTTCGGCTCCGCTGAGAGTGACCAGTCCACCAGCACGCAGTCGAGCGTCAACCGGCGTAGCAGCACACGCAGCAACCGCAGCGGCCACTCTCCTATGGTCAGTAGTAAGTCCTCCCCTACCCAGTTGGGTGGCGCTGAGGACTCTGGGATACTCCACAACACGAGTGTGAGCCCTCGTGCTCGCACCCACGCTAGCACGGGGTCGGGTGCGTACGCCAAGTTCAGATCGAAATCGTCGGTGCACGTGCGCGGTAGTAATAAAGAGGGTGGGCCTACGGACAGCAGGCGGTCGTCCCGGCGGAGCGCCAGCACCACCGGCGCCAGTGCGAACGCCGGCTCCGCGGCGCCAGATAAGACCACGATGCAACGGACGGGAAGTATCTCCAAGGTGTGCAGTGTGTGCATGTCCCTATTATCCTCTCGCTTGGGACATTCGTCCACCACATCCGGGGCAACAAGCTCGGAGGCGGTGGACCCTAGCCGGGTGGTGGGACCGGTGGCCACGACCCCGGGTATGAGTGCGGCACTCAATACACGTGCACACTCAGCCGCGTGCACGCACTCGTTGGAGCGCTCACCGGAGTTTATGAGGAATGGCAAAGAGGGGGGGGTGCCCATTGCCATGTCTGGCCGGTGTGTCAAGCACCAGCTGCTGCAGCAGTCTAAGTCGCACACGGGTACATCGGAGAGCGCGAGACTCGAGTCCATCATGGGGACGGACGATCCCGCGCTCAGCTCTGAGGAGAGTGACGCGGAGAGTGACGATGCGACTGGCAGCGCTACGGAGGATGTGTATCATAGTACTGAGGATACGGGACCTGGTACTAATAGCGGGGAGAGTGGGGGAGAGTGGTTGAGTGCACAGACTGAGAGCAGGCGTAGCCGGTGGCTGCCGTTAGGGAGAAGCCTCACCCCCAGCGCTCTGCGCACAGCGGCGGACGGGATTGCAGACATGGCCCTGCATTCGGTGTCGCACGATACGCAGGCGAATAAGAACAGAGTCGGTGAGGGTAAGGGACATTGTAACAAGCCGTGCTGCAAGAAGAAAGGCAAGGCTACCAAGAGTGTCAGGCGGCAGCATAGCTCTGGGGCGAAGTGCAGAGGCGATGAGCGTGCGGAGAACATATCGGACCCAGCGTCAGTATCGGGATCAAGTACCATAGACGAGAGTGGTACACATCCCGCACACCCACGGAACAAGGTGGAGCGGACCAGGAGCAACGCCAGTGCAAGCTCTAGTGGGATGTTCGCGTGGCTTAGGAACACCTCGGGCATCAGCTACAGCCGCCGAGGCAGCGCAGCAGACAACAGTGTAGAGAGCGGACCCAGTCCCAGCGAAGCGAGCTCAGAATGGGACGGCCATCCGGAGTCACGGCGGAAGAGTCCCAAAAGCGGTGCTAAAACCCCCAAACTGGGTGCGATCAAGTCACACACACCCGTACTGGGCAGTGCTCAGTCCTCGCCTAAATTGACGGGAAATTCTCCGCTGAGAAGGTCTAGTACTATGGAAGGTACGTATGGCATGTCTAGGAATCGGGGCCGGCAAAGCTCGCCCGAGAGAGTTTGGGAAGCCTCTCCCAGGCAACTTGCTGTGGCTGATAGAAAACGCTCGAATGATGCCGGTAGGCCCCTTCTGTTGCCAGGCAACGCACACAGTGCCCACGATGACAGGAGTAGCAAGTGTGCGAGTCCTGACACCGGACCATTCGATGGCTGTGACACCTTGGACGAGTGTCACAACGTGTCAAAACACACCGCAGCAGAACGTACAGCGCGCACGAACGCCGCACCTGCCAGCACTGGCGCGCCTCAAAAAGAGACGCGCGAGCTTGGCGCGGATGTGCGGTCGGAATGTGCGCTGCACGGGTCCACGTACAATTATGTGTGTGTGGCGGCGCAACTGCTGGCCACGAGCAGGGAATCACGCGGTACCAAGCAACAGGTATCAGCGGGGGAGGATTTGGACGCACGCTGCTTTACAGGCGTAGAGCCGGGCTGTCAGAAGCGACGGGGCAGGAGCGTGCCGAGTATTGCTGACCCGTATTTAGTGGATAGCCTTGAGTTCAGGACTGCGAGCGCAGACGGTACGGATACGAGTGTGGCGACGGGTGCGACGAGTGCGACAGTCGATGCGCAAGGGACAGGCCCACAAGGCAACGGGCCAGCGCAGTCTGTGTACACAACCGAGATAGAGGCGCATCTGCAGCAGCAACAGCAACAGCACAAGCACAGTGATCCAGGCCTGAGAATATCTGTGCAGGCGGCATCGGATGAGCGGGTATATCCGGGGCCAAGCGATGTACACGGCCACTCACACGCACAGCCAGAGACACAGGTGAACCGACATGAGCCTCAATGCACCTGTCACGGGCAGACGGCCGCTGACGGTGAAGGGAAAGACGTACAAACGGCTAAGGGCTCTGGATTGTGCACTTGTTTCCAATCGAAGCATACCGCAGAGGATCGGGATTTAAAGCGGGACGCAAATCGGGATCGGCAAACGAATTTGGATCTCGAGCCTCCACTGGATCATCCAGATCAAGAACGGCCGCAAAGTAAACTCAGAATGATTCTGGAAGCCACGACGAAGCCATGGCGGTGAGTGTTTTGAGTTGTAATCAAACTGATTGCCTTGTAATCAAAGTAATGATATATATTTTTATTGGTATTTTCATTTACCTTTCTATCCCTATTTCTATTTCTGTTTTATCTCTTTTTATTTTATTGGTTATTTCTTTTTCTTATATACATTATGAATT